ACAGCCCTGGAGCCCTCCCTGCCCCTTCTCCCTCTGCCCTCAGGCCCACCATCAGTGTCCAGGCCATTGGGAGGTACCACAGACACCCACGCAACGAGACACAGGAAAGGCTGAGCCTCCTTTTCTGCGCTGCTCTCTGCAAAACTGTGGACTAGGAGAAAGTTGACTTCAATGCTCCTGACCTTCTCATCACTCCTTCACTTTCCTAGCTTCAGAACCCATTTGCCTCCTCACAACCCTTCCGTAAAAAATCTGTTATCAGTCATTTATACTTTAGGGTGAATAAGTCAGAAAAGCATGGTGCCCAGTGTTGGAGCTAGAAGGGATCTTAGGAATAATTTAGCCTAATTTCCCCTATTTTATACATTGGGAAGTGGAGGCCCACAGGAATCACGTGTCTGGCTCAAGAGCACAGAAATAGGCCACAGAGCTGAAACGTCCTTTCCCAACATCCCACTCCTTCTGCACCTTGGAAACAGTTTGGGCTTTGGAGGGGCCTTCTGGTGAGAAGCAAGAGGCAGATGACTGGAGAAGGAGCGAGACAAGCCGTGGCGAGGACACCGTTTCTCCCGGCATCCTTGCGTGTTGCTCTTCTGCCCCACCAGGGCAGGAAGGCTTTATTCCCTGGTACGAACATTGTGTACAGAAAAACGGAGCCCCTGACAAGTGGCTGGATTTGCCACATGGAGACCTGACATTAAACTCCTCAGTGGTGGTAATAACCACCATTGATGGTTTTTGAGTTACTTGTTCTAGGAATTCTTCTAAGCTCTTTACTGAATTAACTCATGTATCCTTATAATAACCGTGTGTTATGGATTGAATTGTGTCTCCAAAAATGTGTGTCAACCTGGCTAGGTCATGATTCCCAGTATGGTGTGATTATTCACCATTTTGTCATTTGATGTGACTTTCCTATGTGATCTTACCTCTATGATGTTAATGAGGCAGGATTAGAGACACTCATGTTAATGAACTAGGACTCAATCTACAAGATTAGGTTGTATTTTGAGTCAATCTCTTTTGAGATGTAAAAGAGAGAAGGGAGCAGAGAGACAAAAGGACCTCCTACCACCACGAATGAAAAACCAGGAGGGGAGTGCGTCCTTTGGACCCAGGGTCCCTGCACTGAGAAGCTCCTAGACCAGGGGAAGACTGATGACAAGGACCTTCCCCCAGAACCGACAGAGACAGAAAGCCTTCCCCTGGAGCTGGCACCCTGAATTTGGACTTCTAGCCTCCTAGACTGTGAGAAAATAAATTTCTGTCATCCACTTGTGGTATTTCTGTTACAGCAGCACTAGATAAATAAGACATCCTGTGAGGAAGATACTATCATTGTGCTCATTTTACAAGTGGGGAAACAGGCACTGAAGTTTCTCCAGTTACACAACGTTGGAGTCAGAATTTGAACCAACATGGCCCTGCTCCAGGGACCATAAGTCTGACCACTATGCTACATGGCCAGCCGCTGACTGAGCTCTAGGGCCCTGCTGGGGAGACCAAGGCAACCTGAGGTAAAGGAAGGATCGCTGGGGATGGAAGCCAGAAGGCCTGGGTTTCCGTCTTGGCTCGCCTACTTTCTGGCTCCGTAATCTCAGGCAAATCACTTTACCTCTCTGAGGCTCAGCTTCATTATCTGTGAAATGGGAATAGTGGTCCTTACTCTGCCAAACTCATAATCTGTTTATGAAGCTCAGGTGAGAGATTAGTCGTGCACACACTCGGTTAGTGGTGAGGGAACACATGCATATAGATGTTTGCATCTCACCAGAGGTATTAAAACCTGTCTCAGAGTTCTTGGCTACTTGAGGGGAACTCTGGTGGCCAAATGGCCTGGTTAGTGTTAACAAGAATGAGGAATGGGATAGTCACAGCTGAAATCTTCTGTCAGATGGTGAGGAGTGTGGGAACTTTTGTCAACTGAGGGACCTAGGCTCTTGAACCTGAGAAGACCCGGCAGTTTCCAAATAGCTAGTAGGCTATTTGAGAAGATTAAAATTGTTCTGTGCAGTTCTGGGTCATAACCAGGTGCCAAAGGAGTTAAGTTAGAAGTGGTAGATTTCAGCTTAGTCTCGTCAAGGAAATGCCCTCTTGGGAGGTAATGAGCTCTTGTCACTGGAGGGGCTCAAGCTCTGGCTAGCTGGTCCATTATCTGGGAGGCTGGGAGTCAGGCTTGATGATGGCAGATCCCTTTTCCTTCTCTGAGGTTCTGGAAGCCTCTGTCAGCCCAACAGGTGCTCACCTCACACTTCTGCAGCAGCCACTCACTAATCACCCTTCCTTAGTGTCTGCACACAGCAGAAATGACTTATTATGCTCTGGGCTTTCTCTGTTCCATCTCCTTATCTGAGGAGAAATAATCACTGCCTCTCTCAAGCTCTTGGCTCATATAACCCTTGAGCCCTTTGAGGGAAGCTTCCAGAATCCATCTCTGCCCAAGGTTTGGGCTTTGGTATTTCTAGAGCATCCACCCTCAGAAATGCCTCTGAAGGGGGCAGTGTTAGTCCAGCTGAGGGAGATTTCCTCTTGGAGGGAAACCGGTGGACTCCTCCAGCATATTCTCTCCTAGTCCAGAGGGGGAAGGGAAGGAGTTGGCTCATGTGGCAGTACTCTGTGATTGTTGTGCATCTGCCTGAAGATTTTTCAGTTACATAATTGAGGTATTTTTTTTTTTCCCCTCATTTTAGATCCTGGTGCCATCCGCCCTGCTTTTCATGCCTCACTAGCTCTGGGCTGAAGTTAGACCTGGTTCGGAGACCAGGCCCTACGGCTCACTTTGTCAGGGACTTCCTTTTCTGTAAAATGAGATCATAACCCCACCCTGCCTCGCTCCCAGGCTGCTGCGAAAGGCAGGTGAGAGGAGGCTCGAATTGGCTGTGAAACGTGTCCAGCGCCCCACAGCTGCGCCTGGTTGTTATCTGGCAGCTGAGCCTGGTGCCCCCTCCCCACCCCACCCCACTCCCCAGCTGGGGATGCCTCCGATCACGTCTGTCCTGCATTGGGGAAGAGAGGTTCACACAAGTGAAGACCTCACAAGTGCCATGTGTCACGGGCATGGCCCCAGCAGCTTGTGCCCAGCAGTGCCAGGCCAGCCTGTCACCTGCTTACACTGCCTCTTGGCCCCCGGGTGAGATGTTGAGCTGCTAACAAGGCACTGTCGGGAGAATCTTGCAAAAAGCCCTTCTCCAGCCTCCAGCCATCAGAAGGGTTAGTGCTGGCTGGAGGCAACAGACCAGGGACCCCTACAGACAGAGAACTGGGCAAGTCTTTGGTGCAAGCCGAGCCTGTCCGGAACCCCTCCCACAGCTCCAGGCTCTGTCTGCAACGCTCTCCTTCTTCTTGCCTGTGAGGCTGTTGACTAGCTCAAGGTCACATGACAGCGGGTAGCAGAGCTGGAACCCGCAGGGGCTGCTGGGCCCTCTCCCTGCCTCACAGGCCCTGGCGAGGATCAAATGAGAACTAATGTTTGGCTCCTGGGGCCCAGTGTGGGGTGGCTGCTGACTGATGATGCCCCTGTGCCTGGCTCCTGCTGTCTGGGAAATGGGAGTAGCCCCTAAGGGGCCCAGGCCCTGGGCTGTAGGCCTGAGAAGGCTGCGGGACAAGAATCCTCAGGCTCCATCACCCAGTGAATCCTTCCAAGGGGAGGAATGCTGGAGAAGATGCTCCCACCCAGGCCAGAGCCTGTGGGTGCCATTTCTTCCAGCAGAACCAGATGGTGCAAGCCGGACGCAGCCTCTGGAAAGTCTCCTCCCTACCCTACCCCACGAGAAGGGACAGCTGTCTGCCAAGAGACAAGCAGTGAGGGTCTAGGTGCCCAGTGACCTTGGCCCATCCCGCGGGACAGGATGGTGAACAGCGCCGCTCAGGGGACTTGTTCTGGTCCTGGTCCTGTCCCGGATCCACCCTGACACTGAGGGAGTCAATTCCTGTCTTTGGGTCTCACACTGATGGCATCTACAAATGGCAACAGCCAGCCCTGTTCTACCCACTTCAGTTCTCTCTTGTAAGGATCCAAACGAGATCAGCTGGCTGTAGGCCGACAGAAAGGGAACGGAAATGGAGTTTTAATGAGTATTGAGATTATCTGGTGGGAAGGTGCCCTGGGCTGTCCGTCACCGGGATGAAAATGAGACATGGGGGCAGCCTGCAGGCCGGCCCAGGCTGCTGTCTACTCCTGGAGACCCCAGCAGATGCAGCTTCTCCAGTTTACTGCTGATCCGGATCCAGAGCATGCGACCATCTCCCCTTCCCTCTAGTTCCCAGGTCGTGCTGCACAGGCATAATGCCAAGTGTGGCATCCATTTACCTTTAATAAAATTACGCATGAAAACAAAATCTGCCAAGATGTGAAAATGTGGTTCTGAAAAGGTCCTGGTACAAAGACACGACGGCCCTGAGTGTCCGCGTCCCAGGCTCAGGAGGATTTCAGCCCTGCCTGCCTACCCCTCCCCCAGGCCCTCTCGGCACACCCTGCAGACAGGGAGCTGGGAGGGGGGTTCTGTTTGAAGGCAGAGGGGACAAAGGCCGCAAAGGCAAACTGAATTGGCACTTCATGAGACCCCCTTCTTCTCGGTACTGCCCAAAGCCCCGGGGCTAGTTCCGGTTGCCCAGATTCTTCTACCTTCTCCTGGCGTCAGGCCCCAGGTTTAAGGCAGACGCTAGGAGCAGCAGGAGCAGTTTCTAAGGGGTCTTGTTTCTTGGGGTCCGGGACTGTCTCCACAGGGGGAACCACGAACGCTGTCTGAGAAACCTGCTTGAGCGGAAGCTCCAGAGCTCAGAGTCCCGTCGGCCCGCTCCCGCTGCGGAGGAGGCAGGGCGCCCTCTAGCGGCAGGCCCAGCCCCTCCAGGCAGAGGAACGAGTCAGTGACAGTTCAAGGCCCGCCCTCAGGATACTGCCCTAGACCTGCAGCCACCTGGGCGCAAAGGTGCCTGGCTGTGGTCCAAACACCCAGGCTCTTGCAATCGCAAGGAGGGCTGTTTCAAACCCGAGCCGAAGAAGTGAGGGTGCAGACTCTGCCTATGAGAGACCTGGCTTCGTTAAACATAAGGTCACAGCAGGAAGGTGGCCATCAAGAAACAGATGTGTGTGTGAGCATCACACAGGTAGCCACCCTGGGGGACAAGGTGCCACAGGGCCTGGTTTTAGCACCAAGGCTCCTGCCAAGGATGCCTCATCAATACCTGTTTCCACCCCAGGCCGAACCAAACAGACCCAAACCGGAAACAAACTGCCCTTGTAGCAACGAGCACCTCCACACAAGTCTATCCAAAGTCCTAAAAGAGATCTGAAAAATCCCCAGTGGAAAAGCTCCAGAATGGTCCTGCCCCCTCCATACAGTTAGCCCTGAATCACCTGCTGTCACAGCACCACGGACATGCAAAGAGGGCATACAGCAGGCACTTGGTGTGCGTGCCTCAGTCGAGGACACATTCAGCCAGAGCAGTCTTGGATAAGTACATCCAAAGCAGCCCCGGAACGCACAATGCGAAGTGTCTGCAGGAACACAGAACCTGGACCCAAAAGACCTGGGTTCAAGTCCAGGCGTTCCACATACAAGCAGGAAAAGGGTTATTCACGTATCCTCTTCGGGCCACAAATTCTTCACGTACAGAAGAAACAGGTATTGTTTTACTCAGGAGGCTGTCTTAGGATCAAATGAGATAAATTTTTTGAACCAATGTTATGGCTTAAAAATGTTAAGGCAATTTGGATTCTGTTCTTTAATAAATCTGTTTTTTTAACATAAAGTTGTTTCCCCCATATCTTTGTATAAAATAAACTCCAGAAAGATGGATGCACCACATTTAGAGGCACCTGCCCGCCACTACAGGGAGCCCTGGTGGCACAGTGGTTAAGTGCTCAACTGCTGACTGAAAAGGTCAGCAATTCAAACCCACCAGCCTCCACGGGAGAAAGATGTGGCAGTCTGCTTTCATAAAGATTTACAGCCTTGGAAACCCCCTGGGGAGTTCTGCTCTGTCCTATAGGGTCCCTATGAGTCAGAATGGACTCACTGGCAGTGGGTTTGGTTTTGGTTTGGCCTGCCACTACATACCCGTTTGTGAAGGCTCAAACCACTCCCTATGCAAATAGGTCAGGCTGGGTTACTCCCTCTGGTTAATGCTAAATAAAGCTGGTAATGGGTCTTCCTAGAACACTTCTGTGGATGATCCACAAGCAGGTAATCAAGAGGTGACTACAGGAGCTCCTCCCTCCCCATTCTCCCTCCCCTTTTCTGTCTGCCTCCCTCAGGGCTCTGAGAGAGGCTACCGAGAAACTCTTCAGAGTCCATAGATCTTGTCAGAGACTGCTGCGGGCAAGTGGGTCATGACCTGCATCTGCAGCCACCCGTAGTAGTCCATGGGGTGGTAGCGGGTATAGGGGGTGGCGGCGGTCAGGGCGTGTGTGACGGCTTTGATGACGGGGGTCGTGTCCCTGGAGCCGCTGCTGCAGTAGCTCTCCATCCTGGCGATCTTCTCGTCAAAATACTTCCTGCCGTAGTCCCTGCGCACCACCTCGGGCAGCTCGTCCCACATCTTCTTGGCAATGGCCTGGATGCGCTCAGGGTTGTAGAGGCTGGTGCCCGGGATGAAGTTGCCGGGTTCCACCACGCTCACCTTCACACCCAGCGGCCGCATCTCATAGCGCAGGCAGTCGGAGAAGGCCTCCACCCCGAACTTGGTGATGCAGTACGGGGAGCGGGCCAGGCTGGCCATGCGGCCCAGCACACTGCTGATGTTGACAACGCGGCCTGTGGATGGAGATGGCAAACACCCGCTCAGCTAGCACCGCCCTGTGGGGCAGAGGGCCACAGCCTAGCAGGTTCCTGGAGCCCTGGCTATAACCTGGTCATCCTGGCCTCTGACACCTGCTCTCCTGCCTGCCAGGCTGGGGCCCAGCCAGGGGGCTTTCTTAATTGGTACTTGTTATGAATTGAATGATACTCTCTCAAAAAAAGTATGTATTAGAATCCTGTTGTGGACTGAATTGTGTCCCCCAAACATATGTGTTGTAAACTCTAACCCCTACACTTGTGGGTGTAATCCCCTTTGGGAATAGAGTTTTCTTTGTTATGTTAATAATGCTAAATCCGCGTAGGGTGTGTCTTAAACCAATCACTTTAGAAGAATGAAAGTAGTAGTCTGGGCCTACAGCAAGCAAGCACCTGTGGGGGAAGATACACGCCACAGGGGACTGCCAAGGAACAGAAGCTGAAAAAACACAAGGATAAGTCTTCATCGGGAACGATGCCCTGAAGTCAGGCCTTCTTATCTCCTAAACATGGTTTGGGTGCTTTGTTCTTCCAAATTTCTAATCTTCATTTTTTGTTTTTGAAACTTAATACCCCAATTGGCTCATTTTTTTTAAACCACAGCCCAAAAACCCATAGAATGGATATGCCAAAATTTACTTAACCGCATCCTATCGACAGGATGAACGTGCACACAAAGCTTTGTGCCCAAGGGTAGGTATGACTCCAGATTAGGTTCCAGAAGCGGATTACAGCTGTGATCTTGAAGGCTTTAGTGCGTAGACTGCTCACCTTTTACTTGCTCTACTTTCTGAAAAGCACACATCCCTTTCCCACTGCCTGGCCTCGGAACCTCTGCTCAGCCCCATCCCCAGGCCCAGCGTGACCCCTGGGGGTCAGGAGCTCAGCCTTGCTGGGCTGTGCATGTCGGATAGACTAAGACAGAAACCGCCATCTGAGCCAAGAGGGAAGGGTGGGACAGGTCTAGGAAGCAGGAGGGAGGCCCCTTTCCAACTCACCTTTGGCCCTTCGGATGAGGGGGAGAAAAGACTTTGTTGTCCGCACTGTCCCCCAGAGGTTCACTTCCGCCACCTCCTTGTAGGTCTCCATGCTGGTGAACTCCACCTCCCCAAAGGTGGAGATGCCCGCGTTGTTCACCAGGCCCCACAGCCCTAGATAGGACAGGACAGACCAGTTGCCATGGGGGCTCAGCCTCAGACATCAGCCTGCAACCCATTCCCCTTCCCACTTTTGTCCCCTTTTCCCATGACTTCCCAGCCTCTTGCCCAGAGGGATACTTCCTAGTGCCACCCAAGGATGACAGGAGATAGAGAGGCCCCAAGTGCTGGCTGTGACCCTCCCTATAGTCTAGAATGCTCAGTCTTCATCTCGCTGAGGGGGGCTATTGCTTCTGCCTGAATAGTGACCCAAGCCTGCTGTGTACCCCTGCATTGAGCCCCAACTCACCTCAAACACGTGCCTCCACTGTACCCCATCCAGTCTCCCCTTCCCCCAACCGCCCCTTACCCGGATCTATGCGCCTGTTTGTTCATTCCTGCCTCTGTGCCTTTGCTGACATTCTTCCAGTTGTCAGAGGCCAGGGAACCTCGGGTCTTCCAAGCCAACCCCTTCTGGAGGACCAGGGAGAGGACCCAGGTTCCAAGGTCACACAGCAAGGTGGGGCTCTGCCAAGACTTGTTTTCAGGCCAAGCCCCAGCCCTCTCCACTCTGAGCCCCTCCTAGCAATTGCCCCGCTGTCTGATCTCCCATCTGTGAACCACAGCACTACTTGCTGGGTATCACATGCTAAGTTACAACACGGTAACCTGTTCACCAATATCCCATGTGGATATCTCTGGTCTTGGCAGGTGGAACCACCCCTCATCTTGTGTGGTCCTACAGGGCTGAGTACAGGGTCGGCGTGAACAGCCACTCTCAAAATATACTCAGATTGACTGTTTGCTGCAAGACTAGCCAAGGGACAGCTGGCTTCTGTAGACTCAAGAGAACACTGGTGCTAGAAGCTTCCTTGGAGTTCATTTAGTCTGGTAACTAATTTTACAGATAGGGAAACTGAGGTCCTGAGAGGAAAGGACTGACTTAAGTTTACCCAGTAAGTCAGAGGCAGAGCTGAACTGGAGGAAAGAGGTGAGGAGCACCCTTGGTTTACAGGATCCTCGGTAAGCCTGAGGACAGAACTGACGCTGCCTCTTTGTTGTGGAAACCCTTGGGGGTGTACAGTCTCCCCACAGTCTAGCATTCTCTGAGCAGAACTTCCCCCTCGGTCCTTTGCCCTGCCTATGGGAATCCTCGCCCTGCTTGCTTTTAGAGTTCATCACGGAAATGAGTTTGTGCAAATGACAAAGTAATTGGTCTCTAGCTGCTTTCCTTCCATTACCCAAATTAAAGCTTCATCAACTGACCTCTGCTGCCTTCTCCCTCAATTATGGAGAATTAAGGAAGTTTTTTAGGGAAAGGAAATTGCTAGTTAACAAAGTGCTCATCAAGTGCTCGCTCCCCCGCCCCAGAGCTGCCATTCTGAAGCCTCCCTCTCTCAGGTCTCACCCATGAACTCACAGCGGCCACTAATGACGAGATCAGACTCATCCACTCCAACCTCCCACAGTTTTCCCCCTCGGCCCTGTAACTTCCCTGAGGCCTCAGCCATTCTCTCTTCCCAGGAAATCTCTCTCCACTTTTCCAGGCTATTTCACCCCCCATCTTCTCAACCGTCACCCATCAATCCTCCCCTCTCCTTATGCAACATCAGCTTTTCCCCTGTCCGTGGCTCCTCCTCCTTCTCAACACTGTACACGTTAACAAACACAGGGGCTCTCCAGTCAATTCCAGCCCGTGGTGACCCCATGTGTGTCAGAGTAGAACTGTGCTCCACAGCGTTTCAACGGCTGACTTTTCAGAAGTAGATCACCAGACCTTTCTTCCAAGGACCTCTGGGTGACTGGAACCCCCAACCTTTCAGTTAGCAGCCAAGCGTTGCACAGTTTGCATCACCCAGGAACTCCTCTGTACACATTAAGTGCTCAATAAATGTTTGTTAAATAAACAAATATCTACAAATCTCATGTCTCCACATCCTAATGAACCTTCTTCTAACCATGCTATCCCTCATGCCACTGTCTTCTCTCCTTCCCTCCAAAGCCAGGCTTCTGAAAACAATCTTTTTTTTTTTTTTTAAATTAAAATTTAATTTCTTTCTTCTTTATTTTTTTTATTGTTGTAGTCTAAATGAAGTTTACATTTCAAATTAGTCTCCCATACAAAATTTTATAGATACATTGTTATGTGACCCTAATTGCTCACCCCATTCTGCGAAAGCACGCTCCTCCTTTCCGTCCTTGACTCCCCATGTCCAATAAACCAGCTCCTAACCCTCTCTGCCTTCCCATCTCACCTCTGGACAGAAGGTGCCTGTTTAGTCTCTTGTATCTATTTGAGCTAAGAGGCACACATAAAGTATCACTTTATGTCCCACAGTCCAGTCTAATCCCTGTCTGAAGAGCTGGCCTTGGAAATTGTTTTAGTTCTGGGCTGATAGAGAATCCAGAGGCCATGCTTTCTGGGGTACTTTCAGTCTCAGTCAGACCATTAAGTCTGGTCTTCTTACTAGAATTTGAGTTCTGCATCCCATCTTTCTGCTGGTCCATCAGGGACTCTCTGTTGTGTTCCCTGTTCTGAAAACAATCTTTACTCTCCACTTTCCCATCTCCCTACCATTCTGGGTCCCAGTCCTACTGCTGGTCCAGACCCTGCAGTCAGGGTCTCCAGGGTGCCACATGCTAAGGATCCCCCCCCAAGTCTGATTACTTGACACGCACTTATCCCCTGGCATTAATGATGCCATCCTCCCTCTTCCCTGACTCATTTCTTCTACCTGCTCCCTTAATATATGTGTCCCCTGTCCTACGCTTGCTTCTTCCAAATTACACACAACTCTTAGGCAACCTCATCTACTTTATGTTTGTGGAATCTTCCAGCTGCTTTGTGTTTGAATTCATACAGGACAGAATCACATGACCTAAAATGCATATCCTCTTTTTTGCATCCAAAAATCAAAACAACTACATCTGACACTGATATCCAAAAAAGTTTAATTGAACGTAGCCTGTGCAAGACAGACACTACTCCTGGGTGATAGCTTTGCTGACGTGATAAGTACTAACAGGCTGTGGACCCAGCTGCTCTCTGGAGCGCTCAGTCAACGTTCTGCACAAACTCACAACCACACGACTCCTGGCCTGAGTGACAGCTGCTTACCTGCAACAACCCCAAACAGCACCTCCACATCAGGGGTTCCCATGTACCCCACAGGCTCTCTCCTGACCCCAGTCTCCTCCTCCTGATAGTCACTCCCACCCGAGTGTCCCACAGGTCCCCAGCTCACCCAAACAACATCCAACACATCCATTTCCCAAGCTGCCCAAACCAGCTCCTCCTCTTTGCTAACAGCTTCACTGTCATCTTTGACTCCTGGCTCCTTCACTTCTGCCCCATCTAATGAGTCACCAAGTACTTTAATATCACTGAGAAAAATCACCATGACAGCTGCCAGCCCTGAACTAAACACTTTGCACCCATTAACTCACTTGCTCCTCACAACCCACCTATAATTGGACAACTGAAATTGTCCCTTATCTGGATGAAGCACCTTGCTCAGTGTCATCCACGTAACAAGTGGAGGGACAGGATGTGGACCACGCCTGTCTGAGAACACAGGCCTCACGCTTAACCCTGTGCCGCTGCTGTTGGTTCCTTTGCTGTGTCATTAGAGTTGGTGTCTTCCTTCCTGTTTCCACCTGCTTTCATTTGGGTCTTGTGATCTCTCTCCTATATTATTGGCGAAGCCTCCTCCTGGGTCTCCCTGGCTCCGTCTCTCTCCTCAGCCCCCTCAGCCGACTCATCTTTCCACAGCCCGGCTGCTCTCATCAGTCCCTCCCTGCTCCCCACGGGTCTGTCCACAGGGCGGCACGGGAGCCCTCTTATCCAGGCTTCTCTCTGTCCCCTCATGCATTCTGCCCTAAGTCTGAATAGCCTGCCACTAACCCTGCCCCCGACATCGCAGCCCCTTCCAGCCTCTGCTCAGCTCCTCACTCCCAGCCAGAGAACAATGTCTGCTGAAATTCTACCCGTGCTGCTGCAGTAGCTGGACCTGGGTGTGAGCAATGGATGGCTCCCGGAGCACTTTTCCCATTTCACAGATGGGCAAGCTGAGGCCCACAGAGATGAAGGTACAAACCCAACATCACATTTCCAGTAAGAGGTGAAGCCCAAAGTAATTCCAGTCTCTGCACTCCCAGGCAGAGGATGTCCATATGTAAGGTCTTCCCTCCCCATGGCATAATGTCCCATCAATGCTGTAACTGCCCCTCAGAAGTCCTGCCCAGAAGCCACTGGTGCACACTTGGCTCTTGTCCAACTGTAAACTCCTCCTGACAGATCATGTCCCTCCTGGTGCTCAGCATACTACCAAGTATACAGCAGGTACTCAGTAAACATTTATTAACTGACTGGTAAAGGATGGTGCCAGGATCAGACCATGCCCACAGCCTGCCCACTGGCCTAGTCACTCGGCTTCTCCCTGGGGCAGAAGGGGGAGGGCTGGTCACAGGCTCCAGATGTCCAGTCCCTCACAGTCCTGATGGGGAGGAAAGGGGCTGGTGGCAGATGGCTCACCCACTTGAATCAATCCCTTCATCTCACCCCCTCTGGCTGGCTCCCTCTTTAGGAACCAGTGTGAAGGATATTAAACTCGCCATCAAAATGTGACACCCAGAGCTCAGAGAAGGGGAAGGGGACAACTCTTCTGGAAGTTTCTTGCTTGGATGTGAGTCAGCAGTGGCCAGCGCTTAGGGACTGGCAAGATAGTCTGAAGTTCTGGGAGGGCGCCACCTGGGGTTCAAAGTCAGAATTGTCTGAGAAGAGGGAGGAATTTCTGCTTTCCTGGGAAAGAATGCCCTTGAAGTGTGAGTGTGTGTGTGTGTTTGTGTGTGTGAGAGAGAGAGAGAGAGAGAGAGAGATACACAACCACATATCTGACAAATTTTCTTTCTTCAGACCTAAAAATCTGCTTCAAATCTTTTTCCAAGAAACGCAGTATTGGTTAAGTAAGGTCATGGTGAGTGGTTTATCAAACCTTCCCCTGAATGAGTCATTGTGGAAAAAAGTCATTGCGGAAACGTTTGTGCCTCAGGGGTGGTGCTGGGGTTTGAGCCCCAATCCAAGGGTATGGCGGTGAGTGCTTCCCCACTGTGGGGCTCAGGGTCCACCCTGCCTTGCCTGGTTAGGCTAACTGGCTGGTCCAGTACAGGAGACAGAGCTGGTTCCACCCCCATGGCACGGGGCTAGGCCCACAGCCCTGAGCAGCCCCATTCTCTCCTCAGGGCCACAATGACGATGCCTTTCCATAAGCATTTTAAATCACCACAAAACCCACAGGCTGTAATGAAGTGGCTTATATGGTGCTGACTGCAGCTGTTTTCCTGCCTAATAGTTTATGAAGGCAATATCCCAGCCCGAGGATGGTGGGCAGCGGGAAAATTCACCAGTGGGGAGGGGGCAAAGCAGGCTGTGCGTTCGGAGCTGGTAATCATCCTAGTGGGACACATCCTGCCTTTTCTTAATGGGATGGGAGCCCTGGCTCCACCTATTATTAAAGAGATGTTCGGTGAGTTCAGGAACTCACAGGCCTCTCCTCAGGGCAGAGGGCTGGCAGTGGGCTGACAAGGTCACACATCAGTGACGGGCTGACAGACTGACAGTCTGACAATGGCCCCTGTCTGACGCCACACAGCACAGAGGTTTCTGAAGGGGCTGCCTGAGATCACCAGCATTTCCGCCTGACTCACAAACGCTCAGCAGAGTACCCAGCACAGGCTCTGGTCACCCACCCACTTCCCTCAGCGCCTAGTCAGTGCTCAGGAGAGCTGCCCCCACCCCATTCTGCAGGAAAGCAGCTCACTGAAATGAGGCTCACCTAAGCACACTGCCCTTTCTGCCTGGGCTGCCAGGAAGCTCAAGGGCAAATTTCACAGTGAGAGAGTGGACCAGACTCGCTTCTCCAGGGTGCTGCCTGACTCCAGGGGGCCACCATTACTGTTGTATTCTAGGTGAATGGCGCCCCCTGGAGTTGTATAACAGCCCCTGCCACCAAGGTCCTCCACGTGGCTGAACTGGGAGGACACCTGAGTTATGGGTACTTACAGCAGCATTTGCCTCTGTTAGCTAGTGGCCCCCAAACTTTCTGTTCCTTTAGCTTCTAGGGCACTATTCTCCACCCTCTCTGACAGTTCTTCCTTGGTCTCCCCCACTCCTCTGGCCCCCAAATGCTCACGTTTCACAGGTCCCTCCTTGCATTTCCCCCACCCATTGCATCTCCCCCCATGGGCACCTGATCTCCAGCAGGGATCCTCCCCTAGGTGTCCAGTGGGCACTTCAGCATCTCGTCAGCGAGCCCTTCCACCGAGGGGCACAGCTGTCCACGACAGGAATCTCTCACTTCTTTCTCTCACCCCCACATTCATCAATCACCAAGTCCAGCCCGTTCTGCCTTCTCAGTATTCCTCGAATCTGATCCTTCCTCCTTCCCAACGCCCACTACCCTACTTCCAGATCTCTCACACGTGTCCCCCTTTAAATCTACCCTCACATAGCCACCACAGTCCCCCACATGAGATTTCACAAGTCTACCAGGTTATTCCCCTTGTTGACAGCCTTCAGTGACTGCTGTCCTCGGCGGTGCTCCCTGTCTGCCACCCAAGGCCCTGGAACCTAGCCCCTCTGACCCTCTCCAACCCCATTTGCTGCCTCCACCTCCACCAGACTTGACCCCCGACAATACCAAACTGCCTCTCGTCCCCCAACACGCCCTGCGCCATTTCCCACCTCAGAGCTCTGTTTGAACTCCCCCCTTCCACCAGAATGGTCAACTAGCTCTCTGCCATGATCCACCCTAACTGACCTGTTCCCCTACCCCACCCCCAAGACTGGGCTAAGTTCTCTTTCCTGGGCTTCTTTCTCTGCCTCTCTCAGAACACTGGTCTATGATATTGAAATCACCCAGGTCAGTGCCCCCACTGAACTGTGAGGTCTGAGGGACAGGGACTGTGTCCCCAACACCCAGCCCAGCACCTGGCCCACAGCGGGCATTCAACAGCCATTGGCTGAGCTGACCTGAACCAGCCCACAACCCTTCATCACTCCTCTGGATCCTGAAATCACCTTCTGGCTTTATTTTACATTGCCCTATTGCACAGGCGGGTTGAATTCAATCTGCTTCCTCCTACTGTGCAGGAGGAATACTATAAACAATAAAGAAACGAGTCTTTTGGCAGGGTTCCAGCAAAAGGAGGGTGGTGTTGAGGAAGGGTCCCCTTGGAATGACCCCACACAATACCTCTGCTGCCCCAAGTACCCCTACCTTTCTCCGGGTCCTTTAAGCTTGAGCGGATGACCTCCACTGCTTCCTCTACCTCCTCGCTTTTGCAGACATTGAGCTGGATGGTTCTCAATCGGTCGCTCCTCAAGTTGTCCAGCTTCTGGACCCCACTGTCCCCTTTGTGCTGGGGAGGAGAAAGGAGCTGCTTCAATCAACCTTTTTCCCATCCTGAGGCCGACTTGGGGATGAGGACCAAGGCAGGGACACTGGTCCCTAGTCCCCGCCAAACTCTCGGGCTTACTGACAACTGCAGTTGGTGTTCTCTGGAGGCCCAACCAGACCTGCCCCACCCCTGGGCCCTGGTGACACAGCAAGCACCAAGCTAAGTACCACAGACAACCACGAACAGGATGGCAACTGCCCATCCGGATCACCATCTGGCAGGATAATTTCTCTAAGCAGGGGTTGCAAACTTAATGCCTACTGTGGCCAGGCATGTGGGTACAAGAAGCAGGGAGGGTGGGGACCCTGGGGAGCTAGAGCACATGCCTCGCCACCTGTTACCCAGGTGGGTGTGTATGCCCAGGTTGCTGGATGCTTTGATTTTTAAGCTAATCATGGGATTTCTGTGTGAAATCTCCTGAGTTTTTAAAGTGTTGGCAACTTCTTCACATTTAATAAAAAAACCTGTGTGGGCCAAAACATATCTGCAGGCCATCTGACCAGCAGCCTGTTCATTTGCCCCCTCTTTTCCAAACCAAGGACCCATCAACCTCCAAGCTGGTAAGGGGCCGGGCTCTAATTCTACTTCTGTCACTAGCTAGGCTCTGTGCACTCAGGGGGGTCCTTTAGCGTCTCTGCCCAGCTTTTTCAGCTGTAAAATAAGGACATCACCACCTATTCTACCTGCTCAGGTCAATGTAATGAGGAAATAGTTGAAAAAACAACAACAGCAATTGTTAAACTAGAAAGCACTACACAAATTCAGGTAAGCCAAACCAGTTGCCACGGAGTCAATTCCAACTCATGGTAACCCCATGTGTGTCAGAGTAGAAATGTACCCCACAGAGTTTTCAATGGCTTTGATCTTTCAGAAGTAGACTGCCAGACCTTTCTTCCAAGGTGCTTCTGGGTGGATTTGAACTGCCAACCTTTAGGTTAGTAGCCGAGCACTTAACTGTTTGTGTCACCCAAGAACTTGGGTATTAGACATCAGAAAAGTGTCACTCATTCAGCAAGCATTTCTTGGGCCTCCATCATGGGCCAGGCACTGTGCTAGGAGCTGGAGATACAGACACTCTGTCCTTGTTCTTAGAGTCCTGTTCTAAGGAAAGACACAGATGAGGAAGCCAACAATACAGTGAGTGTTTGCTGTATGAAACTTGTGAGGTAGGCGGGAGGCAGCACAGAAGGTGGAGAAGGGCAGGGAAGGCTTTCTGGAGGCAGTGACAGCTGAGGACATGGGTACAGGGGCGGTTTATCCAATAGGCAAGGTAAGTATGGTGCTTACCTTGCTTACTGGATCATCCGTTGTAAACAATTTCACATGGGCTTCACATCAAAGATGTGAAATTGTTCACTACAGATTAGTAAGCAAGTATAAGTGAGCCTGTGCTTACCTTGCTTACTGGGTCACCCGCCCCTGTCAGGGACTGCAAATTTGAAAAGAGGCTTTGATTCTGTAGGGAGGTGCTGTGGAGTTGGGTGAGAGACAGATGCCAACCATACCTAGAAGCAGAATCTTTGATGTGATGAAAAATGTGTGCTTACCTTGCCTATTAGATAATCCGCCTTTGCATGGGTAGCACTGGTGAGTTAGCAAGGGCCAGTGGGGCTGGGGCACTGCAATAAGAGCTAAGAAGGAGCAGCAGTAAGTCAACTGTCGTAGCCAGAGCAGAGGCAGAAGGAAGCAGTGGGACATGAGGCTGGAGAGGTGGGCAGGAGTTAGCTGCTGGAGGACTGAAGTGAAAACAGACATCATTTATTGAGTGTTTACTCTGCTGCTCATTGTGCTAAGCACTTGACATTAATCTTCACATCATGAGGCAGGTTGTATCATCATAGTTTATCTACGTTTTTTTTACACATTTTTTTTTACAATAGGGATGAGTTACAATCGATGTGGAAATTAAACATTGTCAGTCATAATTTAACTGGCAGTGTTTTTTCTTAGTAGTGCATGGAATAGTGATGCATCCTTCAAGAGGACTGGAGTAGCTGTCAGAGGATGAAGTGATAGAAATGCCTACTCTCCAGCCCAGGGCTTGCCTGGGGCATATACAGTTGGTACTGAAGCAAAGATCCAAGCAAAGGGCAAGAGTAGGAAGCACAGAGGGTAGTCAGCACAGGTCAGGGGTAGAAAGTTATCTATAAGTTAGGCTCAGCCTAGTAAATGGTTTGAAGCAGGAGGACCCTAGCCCCAGCCTGGAGGACTCCAGCGGCACTCAATTTCAGAGGTACGTAGGAGAGAATGGTAAAGGGACTGTGTCACATGCGGCCCAAGGGGCTGATGATAATTGCTCTGGAAAGACAACTCGGGGAGAACATGATTATGAGGGAGTTAATTTGCTCTATGTGGCTCCAGAGAACAGAACCAGGACCAAGAACTCAAGTTCAACTCAAGTTGAGGAGACTTTCACAGTCTCGACACAGCACAGACTGCCCATGAAGTGTTCAGATGATGATAGGGTGACTAATGGTGGTGGCAGTGGTGGTGGTGAAGGTGGTGGTGGTGGTGGTGGTAGTGGTGGTGGTGGTGGTGGTGGTAGTGAAGGTGGTGGTGGTGATGAAAGTGGTGGTGGTGGTGGTGGTGAAGCTGGTGGTAGTGGTGGAAGTGGTCCTGGTGGTGGTGAAGGTGATGGTGGTGAAGGTGGTGGTTGTAGTGATGGTGATGAAAGTGGTGGTGGTGGTGAAGGTGATGGCGGTGGTGGTGAAGTTGGTGATGGTGAAGGTGGTGGTGGAGGTGGTGCTGGTGGTGGTGAAGGTGATGGTAGTGGTGGAGGTGGTGGTGGTGGTGGTAGTGGTGGAGGTGGAGG